GACTCATTTTGACTTAAGGTGTGTAGGCTATGGACTCATTTTGACTTGAGGTGTGTAGACTTTGGACTCATGACTCATTTTGACTTGAGGTGTGTAGACTTTGGACTCATGACTCATTTTGACTTGAGGTGTGTATATCGACTTTGGACTCATTTTGACTTGCGGTGTGTAGGTTTTGGACTCATTTTGGCTTCGAATGTGTAGACTTTGGACTCATTTTGACTTAAGGTGTTTAGGTTTTGGACTCATTTTGACTAAAAGTGTGTAGGATCTTGACAGATTTTGACTTGAGATATATAGGTTTTGGACTCATTTTGACTTGAGGTGTGTAGGCTTAGGACTCATTTTGACTAAAAGTGTGTAGGATTTGGGCTCTTTTTGGCTTCGAATGTGTAGACGTTGGACTCATTTTGACTTAAGGTGTGTAGGCTATGGACTCATTTTGGCTTCGAATGTGTAGGCTTTGGACTCATTTTGACATGTGGTGTGTAGGCTTTGGACTCATTTTGACTAAAAGTGTGTAGGTTTTGGGCTCTTTTTGGCTTCGAATGTGTAGACGTTGGACTCATTCTGACTTAAGGTGTGTATGTTTTGGATTCATTTTGACTAAAAGTGTGTAGGATTTGGGCTCTTTTTGGCTTCGAATGTGTAGACTTTGGACTCATTTTGACTTGAGGTGTGTAGACTTTGGACTCAGGACTCATTTTGACTTGAGGTGCGTAGACTTTGGACTCATGACCCATTTTGACTTGAGGTGTGTAGACTTTCGACTCATTTTGACTTGAGGTGCGTAGACTTTGGACTCATGACCCATTTTGACTTGAGGTGTGTAGTTTTGGACGCATTTTGGCTTCGAATGTGTAGGCTTTGGACTCATTTTGACTTAAGGTGTGTAGGCTATGGACTCATTTGGACTTGAGGTGTGTAGACTTTCGACTCATTTTGACTTGAGGTGTGGATATCGACTTTGGACTCATTTTGACTTGAGATATGTAGGTTTTGGACTCAGGTGTGTAGACTTTGGACTCAGGACTCATTTTGACTTGAGGTGTGTAGACTTTCGACTCATTTTGACTTGAGGTGCGTAGACTTTGGACTCATGACCCATTTTGACTTGAGGTGTGTAAATAGACTTTGGACTCATTTTTACTTGAGGTGTGTAAGCTATGGACTCATTTTGACTTGAGGTGGGTAGGTTTTTGACTCATTTTGGCTTCGAATGTGTAGGCGTTGGACTCATTTTGACTTAAGGTGTGTAGGCTATGGACTCATTTGGACTTGAGGTGTGTAGACTTTGGACTCATTTTGACTTGAGGTGTGTTGACTTTTGACTCATGACTCATTTTGACTTGAGGTGTGTAAATAGACTTTGGACTCATTTTGACTTGAGGTGTGTAAGCTATGGACTCATTTTGACTTGAGGTGTGTAGGTTTTTGACTCATTTTGGCTTCGAATGTGTAGATTTTGGCTTGCGATGTGTAGGCTTTTGACTCATTTTGACTTAAGGTGTGTAGGCTATGGACTCATTTGGACTTGAGGTGTGTAGACTTTGGACACTTGACTCATTTTGACTTGAGGTGTGTAGACTTTGGACTCATTTTGACTTGAGGTGTGTATATCGACTTTGGACTCATTTCGACTTGAGATATGTAGGTTTTGGACTCATCTTGGCTTCGAATGTGTAGACTTTTGGCTCATTTTGGCTTAAGGTGTTTAGGTTTTGGACTCATATTCTGACTTAAGGTGTGTATGTTTTGGATTCATTTTGACTAAAAGTGTGTAGGATTTTGACTTATTTTGACTTGAGATATGTAGGGTTTGGACTCATTTTGACTAAAAGTGTGTAGGATTTTGACTTATTTTGACTTGAGATATGTAGGTTTCGGACTCATTTTCACTTGTGGTGTGTAGGCTTTGGACTGATTTTGACTAAAAGTGTGTAGGTTTTGGGCTCTTTTTGGCTTCGAATGTGTAGACTTTTGGCTCATTTTGGCTTAAGGTGTTTATGACTTGAGGTGTGTAGGTTTTTGACTAATTTTGGCTTCGAATGTGTAGACTTTGGACTCATTACTCATTTCGACTTGAGGTGTGGATATCGACTTTGGACTCATTTCGGCTTGAGATGTGTAGGTTTTTGCCTCATTTTGACTTGAGGTGTGTAGGTTTTGTACTCATTTTGGCTTCGAATGTGTAGATTTTGGCTTGCGATGTGTAGGCTTTATGGACTCATTTTGACTTGAGGTGCGTAGACTTTGGACTCATGACCCATTTTGACTTGAGGTGTGTAGACTTTGGTCTCATGCCTCATTTCGACTTGAGGTGTGGATATCGACTTTGGACTCATTTCGACTTGAGATGTGTAGGTTTTTGCCTCATTTTGACTTGAGGTGTGTCAGCTATGGACTCATTTTGACTTGGGGTGTGTAGACTTTGGACTCACTTTGACTTGAAGTGTGTAGACTTTTGACGCATGACTCATTTTGACTTGAGGTGTGTCAGCTATGGACTCATTTTGACTTGAGGTGTAGACTTTGGACTCATTTTGACTTTGGGCGTGTAGGCTATGGACTCATTTTGGCTTGAGGTGTGTAGACTTTGGTCTCATGCCTCATTTCGACTTGAGGTGTGGATATCGACTTTGGACTCATTTCGACTTGAGATGTGTAGGTTTTGGACTCATTTTGGCTTCGAATGTGTAGACTTTTGACTCATTTTGGCTTAAGGTGTTTAGGTTTTGGACTCATTTTGACTAAAAGTGGACTCATGACTCATTTTGACTTGAGGTGTGTAGACTTTGGACTCATTTTGACTTGAGGTGTGTAGGTTTTGGACTCATTTTGGCTTCGAATGTGTAGACTTTGGACTCATTTTGACTTAGGGTGTGTAGGCTTTGGACTCATTTTGACTTGAGGTGTGTAAGCTATGGACTCATTTTGACTTGAGGTGTTTAGACTTTGGACTCATGACTCATTTCGACTTGAGGTGTGTATATCGACTTTGGACTCATTTTGACTTGCGGTGTGTTAGCTATGGACTCATTTTGACTTGAGGTGCGTAGACTTTGGACTCATGACCCATTTTGACTTGAGGTGTGTATATAGACTTTGGACTCATTTTGACTTGAGGTGTGTCAGCTATGGACTCATTTTGACTTGAGGTGCGTAGACTTTGGACTCATGACCCATTTTGACTTGAGGTGTGTATATAGACTTTGGACTCATTTTGACTTGAGGTGTGTAGGCTTTGGACTCATTTTGACTTAAGGTGTTTAGGTTTTGGACTCATTTTGACTTGAGGTGTGTAGGCTTTGGACTGATTTTGACTAAAAGTGTGTAGGATTTGGACTGATTTTGACTTGAGGTGTGTAGGTTTTGGATTCATTTTGACTAAAAGTGTGTAGGATTTTGACTGATTTTGACTTGAGATATGTAGGTTTTGGACTCATTTTTATTTGTGGTGTGTAGGCTTTGGACTCATTTTGACTAAAAGTGTGTAGGATTTGGACTGATTTTGACTTGAGGTGTGTAGACTTTGGACTCATTTTGACTTGTGGCGTGTAGGCTTTGGACTCATTTTGACTAAAAGTGTGTACATTTTGGGCTCTTTTTGGCTTGAGATGTGTAGGCCATGGACTCATTTTGACTTGAGGTGTGTAAGCTATGGACTCATTTTGACTTGAGGTGTGTAGGTTTCGGACTCATTTTGGCTTCGAATGTGTAGACTTTGGACTCAGTTTGGCTTGCGATGTGTAGGCTTTGGACTCATTTTGACTTGTGGTGTGTAGGCTTTGGACTCATTTTGACTAAAAGTGTGTACATTTTGGGCTCTTTTTGGCTTGAGATGTGTAGGCCATGGACTCATTTTGACTTGAGGTGTGTAAGTTTTGAACATATTTCGACTTAAGGAGTGTAGGCTTTAGACTCACTGACTTGAGGTGTGTAGGTTGTGATCTCATTTTGACTTTATGTATTTAGGCTTTGGACTCAATTTGACTTTGGGTGTGTAGGCTTATGACTTATGGTGTGTATACTTTGGACTCTTTTTGGCTTTGGGTGTGTAGTTCCTGGACCGGTTTTGACTTTGGGTGTATAGGTCATTGAACCAATTTGACTTTGGATAATCATTGGATTCATTTTCACTTTGGGTAAATGTGGACTCATTTTGATTGAGTACCCATTTAATACGTTTTACCAAGAGTACATGGGGGAATCTCTGAAACATCTTTTATAAAACTGGATTAGCCTTTGATTCTTATCAATACAGTATCAATACACTACGCATTTTGCAAAATAAAAATTAAAAAAATTGTGCAAAAACTAAAAATACATACAAAATGTGCTGACAATTTGCCGAGAGTGACTTTGGTATATTTGTCCAGAGGGCTTTTTGATACCCCCGCTGGAGCGTCCTCGGGATTTGGGCACTTGTATGGGGGAATCCGCAAATCAAAACTTTTCACACTAGAAAACCCGCTGGGGATGCGGTTCTCCACACTCTCCTCGTCCTCCTCACATAAGGTCACCAAGTGCCCAGGGTGGTTGGTGCCGTAGAGGCGGGGGAGTGTCAATTTGACCCTTTCTGGGTCAGGCGTCGGAACATCCTGTCTATCCAGTCTAGCCTTTTCTTGGACTTGTTCCCCAATTATTTTCTGCAGATTTAGTCAAAGTACTAAATCATAATATCAACTAAATCACAATCGGAAATATAGAGAGCAAATAAATAAGGTTAACGATTATGACATGTCAAACTTGGTAATACTTGATCATCTATAATATGATTAATAATATTTTATGATAAATGTTAAACATGATTTGTATCATAAGCTATCCGGCGGAAGCATTTTCGTTGTGTTCTGTCCTTAAGTTTTGGAGTTAATGTGCGTTAACTTCATTTGCTGAAATCGTTATTTAAACAAAAGTACAATTAAATTCACAAGATTTGAGCATGAAATACAGGGTATAGCTTTAAATACTAAACAAAAAGTTATACAAAAGAAATCTCAATAGTTAGAGAATAAATCGAATGATATTTAAATATTGCAACGTTTGACATGCCATAACCTACACAATGCTTGATTCTGACAATGGTTATTTTATCAAAGTCATGATATTTGCTACCAAATAAGCACGAAGTGAGATGAAGATTGTGGATACTACAAAGCATATAACTGAAAAGCTAAACAGTTATCTTCTATAAATAATCAAACAATCGAAAAACAAATACGTCAACATCTACGAGCTACAACTAAATATCACATCTATCCACACATGATAATTCGTACCTTTTTGAGCTGATCGTAGTACTTAGACATGTCATCAAATACTTCAGGTGACATTTGGAACTCCCGTCTCTTCTTCGTCTGCCCTGTATTTACCCTTGGAGCTAGAACAAGAGTAATTCTTCATTTAACAGTGTAGTTACTTAGTGCTGATACACAGCCTGTCCAATAAGTAATGTTTACACAAGGCCAAACGGTGATAATAATAACAAAGTAAACATAGGAGGCACCTTCATATTCCGTCTTTGTGTATTGCAGAGTTATCTTCTCTTGTGATCAGGTATTGATTGTTACGTCATTGGTTTGTGTGAGAAAATTACGTCGGTTTCTCAAAACTTTATGACGTCACTCTTACAAACAAATGACGTAACAATCAATACCTGTTCACAAGAAAAGATAACTGTGCAATACGCAAAGACGGACTACTACAGTAGTGTCAGCTAGCACACAGTTAATATTGAAGTAGTGTTAGTTAGTAAACTTAAACATACAACTTACATTGCAGTAGTGCTTTCGAATCTAAGTACCACTTATGAGTCTAACATAGAAGAAATTGTCATATGGTGCCGTTAAATTTACTCTGTTTGGCTGTCTGTAGCAACAAACAATGTTTCCATACAGGTGCAACATTTTCCCGTATTTCTGGTGATTATTTACAGGCTAATCAGTGTGAAATAAACAAAAACTGAGGTAGTGTTAATAGGAAAATGTAAATGTTACAGTTTATAATAGAATAGTGTTAATAAGCTAACCTAACACATACAACATTAGCTACGAACCAAAACATGTAAATCTGTTGTCTTAAATTTACAAATGTTTTTATATTTCCTGTATTTCTTCAAATGTTTCAGAACATTTTAAACATTGACTCTCATTCATTTTATATTTTTGCCACTAGTGAACAATACATAAATGATGCGGTAAATGCTGACTTTATTTATATTTCTAAAAATTTTAATATTTCACATTTCTCAGGAATTTTGTAAGAAAAAATTATGAATATTCAAATTGAATTAATATAATTTGTTTTGTAGTACTTACTGGGCGTGTTCCCCAACTCTGGCAATATAACGTCACACATTGGGTCCAATTTCCTTTGCACTTGACCAGCCTTTTTAGCTTTTGTCGATTTGAGTTTTTTAAGAACTTCACACGACCCCTTCAACCAAAAACACAACACTTAATTAATGTCACGATATCACTTACACTTTCCTTGTCAGTAGGGTAGCAATCTTCACGTTTATAGTTATTTTGTACCTTTTCTCGCTCACAAATCCGTACATGTAGGTTATTTATAGAGCATACAATTATGAAAAATGAAAAAACAAACTTACGGACTTAATAAAGTACAACCAATCACTGGTTTTCCCGTCCTCTGTTATCAAAGTGCCCCTTCTGCAACAAAAGAGCAAGCGTATTTGTATAATTAATGTCCCCTTTTCGACGAAAGGAGCAGTACCCATTTACTAGACTGACTATTCACTGATAATTGGCTATATTTATTATTAGATTCATCACTAGATTTAATTCTTCTTTCGACCTACCATTTTGCAACTAAGAAATAATATTCATATGACGTAAGACTAAATGAATCCCACTTACTTGAAATAATGCAACAGACATGCTCCTGGTTCGTTCTCCAGCTTTTCTATCGGCCAAGTCTGCATCAGTGGAACTTGTCTGTCGTGTGAAGATAATATATAATATTAATGTCAATTCAGTAATGATTTATAAACAATATCCTGTGTAAGTGTCAGAACAATAACCCTTATAAACAATATACAGTATTAGGATCAACTTTATATATGCATATTTGCATTCTTTGTGCTTGGATTGAAAAGCTATTTTCATTGTGTCGACGATGAAACCATTTTAACAGATGTTTTCCTACTGTTACAATTAACAATATTTGTTATCTACACAGTTAATTAACCAATCATAGACCGGAGTCTAGTATGAAAATATATTTCAGTCAGCACCTCTTGTCGCTATATTTTTAAACAGGAAGTGGACAATCTGTGTACGGTAGACCGTGTCTTCATAAAAGGAAAATGGAATAATCATGCGATTCTATTCTTGTTTTCTTAATGAATAGCAATTACATATCACGAATGGTGTGAACAGTTTGATGTTTTTCAAAGTGCGTAGCACAAGTGGAAAATAGTAAGCTCTCGAGTGTAATGTAACTATTTTTATCAAGAAACTAAGAATGTCCGCTATTTCATGAAAACTAAAAAAATGTATACAGACCCTATACGATCGTGGTCGTGAAGAATAAAGTTGATTGTAATTGCATATGAATTGATTCGTTACATATTTGTATAAATTTCATATAAAAAGGCAATTTAACTGATAAGACAATAGCTTACATAACATCGTCTACTATCAGTTTCATGAGAACATATATCTGAATATATACCGGAGGAACTGTACGTGCTCGGCTTCCTCGTCTGGGTTTTCTGCCTTCATAAATATTTTGTTGAAGTCTTCTTTGCCAATTACGAGCAATTCCATCGGGGATGCACTTTCCACGGTAGCAGTCCGCAGTGTGTTGAATATCAGGCCTATTTCCTGTCGTACATAAACGACATCTAGTAAGAACAGAGACATAGGAAGCGCTCCCAACAGGTCTATCAAATCTTTAAATGTAATATATTTTATGATTTATCTGTTTTTCTTTCTCTTATATTACAAAGACTGATTTCAATTATTATTTCAGAAGAAAACCAAAAATCATCTTGTTTGTAAATCATTGGTTTAATTGTCAACCGAATGTACGCTGTACTGAAAGGGTTTATTTTCTCAGTCTCATATCTCCATTAATTTATCATTATTTTAGAATATGTTAATCAATGTAAACAAATTAAAGTGGATGTGTATTTAAACGAAATTATTCGTTTTTATAAATTGGCGGTGAACCGAACACGTTTTACTTTACTAAGAATCATTCAATGACGAGAAACAGAACAATATATGTGAATATCGTACAGAAGCAGAACACCGGATAAGAATGTCAGTAACACGATACTGAAACTCAAGTATAAGGAAGTAACATTGTAAGGATCAATAGTTTACCTTCAAGAATGGATTGAAAATAGAATGTTTAAAGTGTGACGAAATCAACAGGTTACCTAGAATGTTTAAAGTATGACGAAATCAACAGGTTACCAGTCAGAATAAATAATTAAAGATGTGTTCCCGCTGAATTTCGGTTAACTGACATGTAGTTCACGGTGTAGTACATTATCAAGCCTCGGATTGATATCAGTTTGGTTAGTCTAGCACTTATAGGTTCATAGAAACTTAAACGCGAAAACGTTCTGTTGATGGAGATGCTGACAAAGTCAATGGACCACGAAAGGTAGGCCGCATCCAGCATTTGATGCATGGGTTGAGATGTACTACCTAACATGCATCTATGGTCCAAGTTTGGTTGGTCTAGCACTTGTAATTTCAGTGAAACTAACATTAACGCAAAAACTTAATGTTGACAACACCTTAGTCTCGCTTCTGCTACTTCGTGGCGGCGAAACAAAAACAGCTACAGAATTCAAAAGTAGCCCCATCGTAAACCACTTTGAGAAGTGACGTGTCGCTGGTTAGCTCACAACCTGTCAGAAAAGAAATTTTGAAATATGACAAAACTCAATGAGATTGTCATTGAGTTTTGTCATATTTCAAAATTTCTTTTCTGACAGGTTGTAAGCTAACCAGCGACACGTCACTTCTCTAAGTGGTAAACGATGGGGCTACTTTCGAATACTCTGTTTCAAGCTTTCAAGCTTGGGTCAACGAACCCGTTATTCGAACTAAAAATCAATAGAACTTAGCCAACAAATGAACAAATACAGATTTACACAGAGACACTTGATAAAGTAAAAAGATATTAAGCCCATGTGTTCCGGAAGGGTAAGCTTTCTTTACAACCCTCCTTTTACCTATTTTATAGCAGAAATTTTTCATTATTATTCTAGCCATTATCTTTTTCTCTTTGGTGGTACTTACGAATCTTTTTCACTAGTACGAAATTAATCAAAACACTGTAGAATATATTGTTAAAAAGACAGCGGGAATAGAAAGTACGATTATTCAGTGATGTAGTATCAGAGGATGTAAAAATGATCGCATTGTCACATTATACAAACATAACAAACATGCTACAACACAAAAAATAGACAATTGGAAACTAAAACGATGAACTGAAATAAAAATGCAAGTAGTCAAACTTGAGGATTAAACTACAAAATAAGAAAAATGCTTCTATTACGTATGCCAATATCTCAAATAAAATAAAACCAACTAGTAAAATCTTTTTTCAGCCTATTGTATTGTACTTACTAACACACAAAACAAAACACAACAACGCGTCATCATCCATAAATAGAAAAATAGAATAAGGAACAGAGAGAGATAAAGGGTGTGTAATATACATTACCCCGTCCTCCCACGAAAACTGCAACAGGGACATAATTATACAGGTGTGCCATTCACAAGGACGAACGTGATGATCCAGCGTACATAGAGTTACAGAAGTAATAGTGTACTTTAACCGCCCGGTTCTGTACTGCCACGTAGTAAAATAAGTTACCATTGCTGCCCGGGGTATACACAGTTTGCGAGAATAATAGAATATTTAACCCATTGATTCTTTTTCTCGTACCCTGTTCACCCATTGTGTGTTATATACATGATGTACTGATAACGTTACAGGCTAAATGCATTGTTAACGTGACGTCATTGTATTGTTGACATGACGTCTACAATTGTTATGAATTGAGGAATCCCCCTGTCTGAACCATCAGTTGAGACAAGGAAATGTTCTTTATTTCGGGGTAAAATAAGCGATTACATAATGTTATATATAGGTGATGTTATATCATACCAATATAATACAGGTGGTTACACTTTTTAAGCATTACATCACATTGTATTAATAACGACGATACAAGTAACACAAATACACGTTAATCTATATTACAGTACTCAGTCATGCGTCAACTAAAAATAACCTAACATATATTATTATCACTAAAGCGTGATAAACATATGTTATTTAATACAATGCTTTGTGTTAGCGTATATAATAAATTCAGATAGCACCTACCCCAAAGCTCATTCCTTTTGTCAGCCTCGCCATAGTATTCACACGCGTCTCCTTTGTCTTCTCGTCATATGTCAGCTTTTTCACGTATGCTGTAACATCACCAATTAGGTAATAAATACACGCACTTAATATTACAACACCAGGAATTACGGGAATACAATGAGGTTAAAGTAATGTTTATTTTTATAACAACCTTTATCATTTTTTGTAAGACAAAGGAACGAACAGCCCTGACGATCAAATCACTATAGCGTTTTGGTTTTAGGAGTAAACTCTGCTCTTGCTTCTGAAACTTGACCAATAATGATAAATTATTAAAACGGAAGTCCAATTTCGTACATTTGTAAGGTGAAAAACTTATTAACAATACTCACCATTTCCAGATAGGATGAAGTAGAACGACTCGGCCTTATGGCCTTGTCTGACAATAGCCTTCTTCGGGCCTATCCTGAAAAGTATATATCAGTATTTATTTAATACCATTTCTAGGAACGGAGGATAATGGACACACTGTATTCACGTTGTTTATCAAACATTGTTTTTCGAACATTGACATTGTCATTGTATTGGAACACTTGACTTCAATATATATACAAGGCAATTTCATTTAATGACATATAACAACAGAGCATGACTGACTATTTTATATCGCTCGAACTGCAAACACAATTTTAAAACAAACCTTTATATATCTGTATGTATTATTGAATATGCATAAGCACATAGCACTCTGTCTTTCTCATTCTAAAAGAATTTAACGCAGCGGTTTATTTTGCGTAAATTTTGAAGTAGCTTTATTAGATAATAACACGTATACATTTTAATGTCGGTTATGCTGCATTAGTTAAATATATTTTTCAAAACAAATTTCTAATGTCAGATTTGTATGTATAGTTAAAATTCAAAAGCACCTCGTTTTTAATATCTAATAGCTTTTACAACGGTTATGTTACCGAGGAATCTGTTTACCTCTACCAGTTTCTGGAAACAAAATACCACTACTTGTGATCACCTTAATTAGTAGTTGTCTGTATTCATAATTAAGTCACGACAAACAAGTTTTATTTTTAATCTGTATATCCTTAACTTTATCGTATAAATATAGTATACTAGTTTTGTCATTATGTGCAAGTCAAAATATGACGATAGCCATCAAATTAAATGTAAATAGCATATGAAATAAAAAAATAAATATAATGAAAAGCTAGAACATCTTTTAAAACAAGTTACAAAAAGACCTGTTACGTACGTTTGGTACCACGCCACCTTGCAGAGTTTTTCCTGTGTGCGAAGTGGGTACTCAGACAGTGACCGGAGGGTTTGTAGACCGTGCATCACCTGTAAGTATGGGATATGATGGAGAGAAAAAAATATGTGATGAGTCCTCTACGTTTGAATCGTGATATATCGCTTCCATTGCTTGATAATCGGGTTTTTTTCGGTTGCTTTCGACGAAAAACATAGCTAACTAATTATATCTGTACTATAAGCTGTATGTCAAAAAGCGCCATGTGGTTTCTTTACGTGGTATGGAAGGAGGTCTACCTTCAAAAGACAAAAGAGGGTTTCCATTGCCGCGACGTTCACAGTAGGTGCAGACACAATCATAAGTTGTCCCTTAGTTAATCGAATGAACGCATAAACAACATGACATGTGATACTAATAGTTCTTGCACGACCTACTTTACAGCAGAAACATCATGAACAAAGTTCAGTCTTAATCGTTATTATTATTAGTATTCTAGCGCAAGTATATTTAGAAATGATATTTACTTCCATATAGTGAAATCCTCCCGAAATCGACGGGAACCAATCTTTAATTTTATATATTCTGTCAATCAAGTAATTTTGGTAAATGACATCTAAAGAAATATCCGCAAGAGTTTTTTTCAGGATCCACAAACCTCATGAATAAAACTGAATATATTTACCACGCAAACAATTCCTGTCGTGGATTATCAAGAACATTATCAGATTATCGCGTAAATGGTTACCGCGCGAAATATAAAAGAAATGATATGAAGGAAATGTGATATCCCCTGACTATTTACCTGTTGGATCATTTCCGGACTACGACAGTTCCACCTTGTGGTGAGTGTCTTCCTGTGATCAGAAGTCAGGGAAATCTACAACAAAAACGCAGCCCGTCTACACAAATAATCATAGTTAATTTTGTAATCGATGCTTTTTATAGTGGTTTCCTGGCTCAAAGAACATTTTAAGCAATAATGTATTCTAATTATAAGCAATTCAACTCAATTTGATATATGATTTTATTACCACATTAATCAAATAAACGTCAATTAGGGAAATTTAATAGCGTGACATTAATGATGTCATTATAATAATTGAATATCTATTGCATTTGCAATTTAGTATGATTATTTTTGAATTTTGTTTTAGCTATATACATACATTTTTTCAAGGCGCCAGGAATAATGCATTAAATTTCATCAAAAATAAATATATAAAGTAGGAAATAGGACATAATTATCAATTATGTGTTATCTGGTATGGTCACGCCAAGAGGTGGCGATTTTGGTCGATATCTGTGCGTACAGATGATTTTGGATTTTACCGGTATCGGTCATTCAGTTGACACAGGTAACCAAAACGAAATATGAATATTGAAGCAGTTGAATTATTGTATATAATGGAAACACTTGAAATACATTGAAAAGCTGTACATCATTGTGTGTAATATTGTTTAATAATCGATTTGATATTAAATGAACATCAAGCAGTGCCTTTACTGCCGGGAAACAGTTATGGATTTTTGTTATTTATCATTTGGATATAAGTGTTCGTGTATATATAGTTATACCAACGATACACTCAATAATTCACGTCATATAGGAAATTGACACAAGTTAGCAAATGTATATCTGATAGTATTGTCAGAAATATTTTTATTCATGTAACTGAACCATGCCTTTATAACAGACTGTCTTTCTCTGAAATTGAAATCGATTTCGTCGTGCGAGTCACTGGATGGTATTGTTTATTCGGTGTATAAAAGTGTCACACTTCTTATAAATTCTTACTGTAAATGACATTAGCGCGCGTTACCAGTTACCAGCGTCGTTGGCATTGTCAAAGATATCGAATTTCAACGGCAATATCAGCGTATCCACAAACATGTGACTTCTGCTGCCATGGAGTAATCAACAGCCCTACAGAACATATCGGTCAATCCCTACATACCTTTTGTTTAGATACTTATTGATTTGGATTTATGAAAACCTAGTGGGACCTTTCTATGTTTTTAAAGGATGTGGCATTACTTGAAGAAAAATTAAAATATGATAGAAGTAACAGTCACTGTATACCGTGATACAACATTTATATAACCATATATGAAAAGCTCACAAAAGAAGTTTTGAATTACTGTTTGTGTTCTAACAAACTCAGAAGATATTATTGATACCAAACTAATGATTCTCATTCCGAACATATCTACAACCATTTTGTAAGATAGAAAGGTAAATTCATTTACATGCTCGTTATCTGACATCACGCGATTAGGTAGTATACCGTCTCTGCTTATAAATAATATTTGAGGAATTAACCGACTTCCACCAATTATGTTTTCTTTAAGAAATAACGTGGTTTGTACAGTCATTACTTGTACAGGTGTCCCTATCTTAAAATTTGTATCGAAAGTTCAATTATTGCACCTCTCAATATGACAAAGTCTCTGTAACTGACTAATACACATTTGAGAATCCATCTATCAACTGATGAATTAAGAAAGCAATATAAACTATAGCCGTAATTGTGAGCCAATAAATCTCATAACAATAGTCACGATTGTAAACAAGATGAGAGTATTTTTGTTGTTGTCTGCAGGCCTGAAAAGATAAGCCTTAATAATTGAAAGATGGAATGAAATATAACTGTTGGATGCAAATACCATTTTGGATACTGACCTCCCGTTTGGCTTTGAACATATTCTTGTCAAAGGAGAGCCCGCTGTCAAGCATGGATTGTGATACTGTGGATGCCTCAACCTCGTTAGCTATATCCACAAAGGACTTAAGCTCCTTCTCCAGACGGTTCTGATCACTGCAGTCATAATACAGTAAATGTGTGAGTACCAACAAAGAGCCAATAAGGTTACATAAATACATCACTTTCAATGAGAGCAATCCATCAATCTGATAATCTATTGTTACAGCAATGCATAACTAAACGCAAGACTGAGGCAAAGTAGTCCGGTGGAAGAGCGCCGGGCTCGTTACCGAAAGGTTGCGTGTTCGAGTCACGGCACTGTGTTGTGTCAGTACGTGGTTGGGCAGTGCTAGAATTGTTGAATGCTAGCTGTGAGCGCCGAAATGGCAGCACCGGCTGTATGCTCCCCAGGGAGTTGAAATAGATATTGGCTGGTTAGGAAAAGGCTATATAACCACGGATAATAATTTGTGAACCACTTTGAGACGACTTACGAGCTAGGATGTGATAAAACGGCATATAAGAACATCGAATTATTATCATTATTTAATAAGACTTACTATGTATTGCTCTGACAGTAATACATTAGCATAACACAAAACTAATCGGAATCACAATTATATACGAAAAGTCAAAGCTGACCTATTATTTATACATTTTACTTTCATGGTATGATATATATATATATTTATGACACTTTGTTCAATGTTGATACAACAACTTTTACATGGAACTGTTAATATATACATTCTGTAGGAACTTTACTTAATAGCTTGCAATATTGAATGTGTTTTTGACTATGATTATATCTCGGATCGGCTCATAAATAAGTCATACAATTTTCATTTGCCAATTATAAATAGAACGTTTCAGTGTAGCATCGTGATTGTTTGAACTGCCTATATGAAAACAATATAAATAATTATACATGTTTCCACGTGATTAAATGTTACCGATGAACAGGACAAATTTGGTATTGTTGCCAGGTTGTACACAACAGAGTCAATTAATGAAAATTTTCATTTACAGCAACATATGATGAATACAGATATGCTAGAAATGATAAATATACCAAATTCTGAACGATGGAAACGTTAAAGAAATGTTCCAACACATAAACTTTTATAAATAAAAATTAAAAAAAATATATAACATATAACATATGATATAGCGCCCTATCTAGCTAACATAAGCCACTCTAAAGCGCTTTACAGTACATGAATATACAATTTTATACAGTCAATACAATTAGCATATATTAATAATATTAACCAATACAATATTGAGGAATTCGCACGAGCTGCCTTATCAGGCGCTAACTACTAGTCCTATGCCACCTGACTAATATCTCCCTATGTGTGTATGCCTGTGTGTGTGTGCTGGAGATGTATTGTGTTCTGTTTGTAGTGGGACCGTGCTTCAAACGGTATCATTTATAGTGCCACCTCACTTGAATGCTACAGCACAGATACCGCAATACCCACCCCAGACCATTTTATACTCCACCTGGGTTGTTGGAGTTGTTTGGGCAGGAGAAAAAACACTTTCTCTAATATTCCATGCGTACGACGACTTCGGGGATCGAACTCCGGCCGCCTGCTTGGAAGGCCGGAAAGTTAACCACTCGATCAATCCGCCCACAGGAAAACCCGTTTCCCAAAGCCTTGTTTATTTACGATCATATTTAATACTTCTTAATACAATAACACTGTATTGTAATATACTGTATATATCTATATACTATAATATATTGTAAGATATCTGTTTAAGATATTTTCGTGTTAGTTTGCGAAGAGAGACATTTTCCTATTTAAGTCTAACGCGATGTTCAATCAGGCACGATTTGAAAAGGATATTGCAATTAACTTTTCTTTCCCGATATAAATCTTCGTTACTATAACTATAACGGTATGCCACACAATCGCGAAAATTAGTATACGTGACAGTAAGGTTATTTACAGTAGCTTGACCTTGTCAACATATTTACTCGATGGTGAACTGCCCGTGACATAGATTACCTTACCTTAATAAAAAAAAACTTATATTTATGTACTTAAAGGACAAGTGTAACGAATTGTTAAATGCTAATCCGCTGGTATATATATAATCCCCACGCTCCCTACATATGACCGAATGATACGAAGAATTTACTGCAGTGCTGCAGAGTATTATAGTAAACAGAATCGCTTTAGCCACTTTGTGACTATGTTTATCAATTATTCACCATTAAATTCGCCGAGGTGAGAAAAACCGCCGTACCTGGCGACTGCCCCACGTAGGCTCGAGACCTACGCGGGACAGTCACCAGGTACTGGCCGTAGGTTGGTGGTTTTTCTCCGAGGACTCCGGCTTTCCTCCACCACCAAAACCTAGCACGTCCGTAAATGACCATGGCTGTTAATAGGACGTAGGAACGAATAAGAAACTAAAACATAAACAACATTCTAGCTTGTTGCAACTTCATACATAAACACACTGGAGACCTGTATGAACGAAATGTTATAGCTCAACTGATCACATTTCTACGTTAAAATATTCTGTGTAGTGCGATAATTCGTAAACAATATTCCGAATGATAAATCCATTTCTATATTTTTGTGCACCAGAGATGTTAAGATTTCGATCTGTACATTTGTTACAGAGTTAATAGAATTTTGTTTATCTCTGTTACAAGCGGAAAATTGACTGAGAATATAGCCAATAGCATGAAACTGTAGGACATTTGAGACCTGGTATTTGGGCAGCTTTTAGTTGAACAACACTTTTTCATTTCATTTAATTTTCAAAACTCGATCCAAGATCGATGTTTAAATATCACACTCAAAGCATGTCACCTAAATTGTGTTAGTATAAATATGATAAAAGGTGTCAAAGGTCTTTATATTTATGTCAATCATAGCAAGTCAAATACGACCTGATCCTTACACAGTATGGGCTAATCCCCCTATCTCAACATAAGGTAGACCCAGTTGAACAACACACGCCGCGCGCGGGACCTAATTAGCTTCAATAAAACCTTGTTTAAATTTCAAGTGGTGTTCATGACTAAACTCAAGTGGATGTTTTATCAAAATGTACGATTGTTCACATATATATAAATAATGAAAGAAACTTGAAGGATTTGGAAAGTAGTTAGAACTGACCTACTAGCATTAAGTCCGTTTACAGTGACCACTAGATATATAACAACCAGATATATAAGTATCGAAGGACTTATATAACACCTTTTACATCAAAAGGATACACAAGTGTACACAACAACGGTGCCAGGTATATGAAAAATACATCATGTCAACACCCAAAGACAATATCTGAAGTCAAAGTCAATACAAAAGTCAACAAAAGAGACATTAACAAGACATAAAAACAACAGGAGAGGCATCAGTTACTCCCATTTAAAATCACTGGCTAAATAGGCGGGTATGTAAGGTCAAGTTTGTCCTGTCCCACATGTGGTAATTAAATGTTTTCGATTGTAAACATTTTCTGTAAGTATGGAACACCCTTATGCATTCTCTGTCAATGGATACCAATATTACTTATTGGTTAGTTGATGCAAAACTCGGCACAATAAAATACCGGTTATTTCTTTTTCAATAAACCTATCTTGCTATTTTTTTAATTTTTTATTAAAAGGAAAAACACTATCTGAATTACTATATAACTCCTAATAAAGGTGATCGGATGGGTGCTGGAGATTCGGGGGTTTACTTCTGTATCATCTGCTATGGGGCATTGCATGCCATTTATCAATTTCCTACTCTTCGGCTCTCTATGACCATATTGTGTTGATCGTCTATGAAGACATATATAACATGCATTTTTTTTTTATTTCAAGGTCATTTGTTAATGTGCGAAAGGCATTAAATTGTGGAACGCTAAATATATACATTATAAAACTGATCTTTTAAATGTTTATATTTAGCAGTTAAATGAGACAAAGTCTTTTTCTTTGATGCCTCATCTGATAAGTACTTACTCCATGATGAGGTCAATCCACTTGAGAACAATCATGATCATACGGCTACACTTGCGGAAGAACCCCATGGCCTGGATAACAGAAGAGAAAATATAACAATACGATAACATTTTCAAGAGATTCAAGAGATAGGAGACTTACCTTATTTTGTTTTCTGTTTTACATAATTACATTATTTTGTGCAATGATCTACATTTTCATANAAAAAAAAAAAAAAAAAAAAAAAAAAAAAAAAAAAAAAAAACTATGCGTCAATGCACAAGGACAGTGTTCATTACAGATATAATGTATCGAGTCTAACTATGAAAACAACACAACGTGTACAGGGTTATAACGATGAGTACTATCGATATGTTCTCATTTATCTGGAAGCTGTATACTGTTGCTTTGTATGTGTAACCATATTGATAATTTGTCCACGTCAATACTTTAAATACAATTAGCTCTGAACTGAAACTAACAATTTGCGCAATGACGGTTGAATTCAATGACATATATGGTATTAGTTGATTTGTAAATGAAATACAAAGCAACTCACCTCGCCTGGTTTTGAGAATTTCGGTTGATGATCTTCTTCTTCGTTAAAGTCATCTATCTTAGTATCTATTGTTTTAGAAGAAGAGTTGATAAGTTTCATTGTTTTGAATCGTCTTTCTATGGAATTCATTTTCTGTTTCAAAGCCGCTATACGTGCAAATCTGCCTTCTGGAAGGTCCATCTTCTTTTCTATTTTATGTCGCATCTTTTCGACAGCTTGCTGTTTGGTGACAAGTGCCATGGCTACGTCGCTGAAGTCGTGACTTTTTTGGGCCTTAAATTCGTAAACAGACGAAGATGCAAGCTGCCACAAACCTGACTGGGTCACACTTTTCCTTCTTGCGTCTGAAAGGGACGCCTTTATGTCATCTGTAGACCCTTTATCAAAGAGAAACGGATCTTTGCCCTTAAGCAGTAATGAGCATCTGTCAATTTGTTTCCAAAGCGAGGTTGAAGGTTTTGAAGAAACCTCAAAAGGCACGGTGTGACTGCGTTGTTTCAGAGATAGTTCCAACTGTCTCCGTACCAAGTTGTCCTCATGTATCCTTTTGATATCAATATTCTCTAACGAAAACTCTGGTATAGTATTGGAGCGAATAATCCTCCTATGTGGCTTCGGTAACCTTGGGGTATAATGAATTGAATGTATGCTGTTCCGTTGAAGTCTTTTCCCAGGTTTAGGTGTCGTTATTTCTTCCGATGAGTTCGCACTTTCATCACTTTTGTCTACATGTTCCGAACGTGCATGTGTTTCTACGTCCAGTTCACGATACTTAATATCTGTCGGATCATTGTTGACAACAAAAGGCGGGTTCGGCAAAGATACCGTGTGTCGCCTATGCGGTCGAGACTGTGGCCGTGATTGACTTTTACCCTCACGTGACCGTATCCCCGACCGATCACTAGAACTCCATCTTACGTTCACGGTAGGTCTGCTGTTTGGTTCGCGATACACTTTATGCGGAATTTCGAAATCCTTCTCTATGTCTAACCCCGGGGATATTACACGCACGTTTAGTTTGATCGACTCTCGCCTGCTGTTAGGTTTTTTTAGCACCGGTTTAATCCATTTTCTCTCTTGATGTTCGTGTACTCGTCGTGTGTCTTCCTGGGTGTGTTCCTCGATGGGTAGCTCAGAGGGAATTTCAGTGTGTTCCTCGGTGGGTACTTCAGAGGGAAATTCAGCATGTTCCTCGATGGTTACCTCATTGGGAATATCAGCGTAGTTCTCGGCGGGCGTCTCGGGACGCTCCTCATCCAGGAGTCCCTCCATTGTTATCCAATATTAATTTGACCACTATACCAATAACCTATAGGGCGAAAATTACATATTAGGTTAGACGCTTTCAACAGAAGTCATTCATCAAATATCAGAATAGGTTGTTGTCACGCCGGTCTGGTATTTAAATCGAATAATAGTAGACAGCCATAAATGACAATCTGTTTAAGTTCACATCTTGTTATTCCATAATCTGAACGCAGGGGTGTATACGTAAACGATTGTGTGTGAATATTACCTAATTAATACCGTCCTAGTGTCCTAGCCCCAGCACTATATATTATGTACATTTGTATATATGGAATGCCTTTATTCGTTGCCGTTTTGTCACCATTGATACTCGTATATATATACATGCTGTGATTTAATTCAATTCTTTCCTGTACAGAAATATATCCAGACCCCGTTATTAGTCTTTTACATGAGTAAAACTATCAAACTGATTTCCCAATCCTGTCGCTAAACCTTAATGTTTAATTTCAATGTTTGTCGTGATTTCTATTTGTCATTAAAGATCAGTACAAATAACTGCACTGATCAATTGCTTGTTCAATCGATAAATATATAGGTGATTATATTTAACGTGAGTGTGTGCACGTCACTTGGGCGTGAGCAAACAGAGTTATACAAACCTATATATTTATATGAATACAACTGTACTTCCCTCAATTATCAATTAATGTCGCCTTGCTTTCTCCCTAAATACAATAGTAGTGATACACCGTCAGGTCACCTGTCTGGGCTATGGTAAAAGTTAACAAAGTAGGGTTAAGATCTCGGTGCACGCATTGTTCAGAAATATTATCCATTATCATAAAGCTTCAATTATGATATTTTTAAAGAGCCGTATTTTTGCTTCTTATAGCGATATCACTGTACAGGAAAATAATAAACTAGATAACGTAACAATCGATATATAAAGATAGTGCTGTTACTGCAGAACCTCTTTTTTTCTGGAACACTCATTTAAAGGAGAGTGGTGTTAACGATATAATCGCAAGAACTTCGATTCGAGAAATAACGCTTCATTTACTGTAACTGTTGTTAGTTATGAATAAAATAATATACGCAATGATATCCCATTTATTCTCTAATATTCGCGTGAAAATACACATATCGCAAATAATGAATGGTTTTCAGGGTGTTCCTATATTATACTGTACAGGATTAAAACTGAGGCATTTAAAGTGATGCTTTCTTTTTCTTTTTACATCGTCTAGTTGCTCAAAGGCTGGTTAGAGTTAACCAAGGGTTAGGCAAAGTTTTGAAATATAAATACAACGATGTCAACATTGATCATCATTTCTTGGCTACATATTCCTTGTGACATATCAGATTAATGTGTTTTTAGGATTGATTTTTTCTTTATAAGCTCTTGCTTCGTATTGACAACAATTTGTCACCAACCAATTATCAAAATCAACCTTTAAGCAGCCGCAGTCAGATTTTAGAGGTTCTGGTGTATAAGTTTGAATTATGCAGGCAGACTTAACTTTACATATACAATGTATAGGAAGATAATATCAAACCAAATAATAATAGGTATTCTAGTTCGTCCCTGTTTTGCTTGCGAGATACAAAGATACATTATATTAGACTACCTACCCCATACACTTTTACAATAATCGCCACGGGCCTTTGGTTCACGTTCTGTTGATCAGAATCCATTATTGGATATCGACTATTGTTGCGGTATTTCACGGTTGAAAATCAATTATTAATAAAAACATTGAGAGAGTATATGTAAATATGGTCCTCAATTCCAATGTTTTATTCATTACGCCATCACAGAAACGTTATCACAACTTTACTGTGTCAGGTGGCATTATCAAAATGTGTTGCACCATGATGATTTCAAATGAATATTTGATCAAAGGTGTAAATTAACCAATTGTATACAATGTAGATGATGGCAGGGGCCCAGCAGGTCGATATGCAAGTACAGTAACTCAGTGTTAGTGCTAGGATAGCATTGATTGAAATGTATCACTGAAGTTGTCAGTGTGGCATGATATACTGTATTACTGTTTCTTGTTGGGACTGCAGTCTTGTTTATTTCACTGTAATGGATAGCACACTTCGGGGTTCAATCTGGATTCTAATATTAATTAATGAAGAAAAACAACTCTTCAGTTCTTTTTTTAACATAGTCCGCCCAAACACCAAACTTTAAATCTGGAATCTATGGAATATCTTCGGACAGTATTTTGCAATTTTATTGTTACTTTTTTTTTATTCAACTGTATATAATGTTTATCATATATTAATGTCTGGTGGTTTATTGAAGAATTATATGGTATAGAGCAAGGAGCTGTACTATAGTCATTCAATTAAAAATGAGAATTGTAATGAGTTTTCATGATCAAAATGGCGTCCTGGAGTTAGCACAAAACCTTGAGAGATTAATTATTGAAGTTGTATATATGCCAAGATTCCTGCTTATCCCAGAATGTATTTTATGTGTAATCAACGCCAAAACATGAAAGGCATAAAAGGCATGAGAACGACAAAGTTGCCATCCTTCGAAGCTTACATTGAGGCATTCGAAGAGTTCCAGAGTGTTTTATTATAGACGACTCGCTTTTAACTGTGTAGATACTTTAAAGGTGAAACTCCCATGACAATTTTAATTACATTGTTAATACACCAGTAACACTTATATATTTTTCTCCCGACAGAGTTTACCTAATGGCTACATTTCATTTACGGTAATTCCTGTATAATTCTACTGTGAGAAGGGTTGTTATCAATGAAAACTGAACAAAAGGGGCGGATTCTCATCAGATGAGAACCAACTATATAGATGGAATGGATAGCTTTAATATGGGCTAGTTTTTAACACGAAATGATCACATGGTGCAGCGGAATTATATCTTTGTTTTGCTTTCTGAACCTACAAAAAAAAACATTTTAAATAGGCGTTTCAGTTTTATGTCATTCCAGTGATAAGTTTATGTATGGACAAATTTATTAGGACAAATTTAACAGGAGTATGATATATCAAGGAGAACCAAACTATACAGAAGAACAACATAGAAGTTGCTCATCCAGCCCAACTTTATCGGCATAAGGACTGGAAGAACAAGAAGGCTCAACACCATTGACAGAATCACTGATCTACCACGAAAAACCTGGAGACAAAATGTAGTCTTCCATGTGGTCCGTATAATTATGGACAGACAGGATGTCCGATCCAAAGATGGCAACTCTCTTCTTTAGGTCGCTCATCTCAGAAAATGATACAATTATACCATTTACTTTCACGTCAAATCAGCATACAAACAACGAATGACATGAACCATTACTGGATCTCAAATGAAGTCCGCTCAAAATGAGGTTATACTATATTTTCGTCATTTTTGACGTTGAAGGAGAAAATCGACAATATTCACTGTGTTCACTCAATTTAAAGACTGATTAAATAATAACAAATCTTCTTGCAAATATTTACATAACTACAAATTATTTTCCCGAAGAATTTTAGCATTAAAAATATTTAGTGAAGCTATTTTGCAGTCGTGTCGACATCTTATAGTTTATGGATGTTATAACTGACTAAAATATGTATTTTTTATAAACAATAACATAAAGCTTTGACTATCTGGATTGAGACGACATAATGCAAACGGTATCGTCCATATTAATCATACCCTGAACGATCATAATTTGTTTAACATAGTCAATGTACGTTATCACTACCTGTAATAACCTGCCTACTCCTACTTATCTTTTGTTGCCGAAATTGATGTCACGCGAATGTTATCAATATTTACCTATCATTACTGACCATGATTTGTTCCACCATTAAATTCACTTGAATACTCAAATAATATCATTCGTTTGTATGGTTATTTATTGTTCATGACATTAAAAAATTAACGATAACAAATCCCCCATGGTAAAAAAATAGTAATTGTTTATATAAGTCTTTGTAAGCGTTTCAACCACAGTGGGTATAGGTTAATATAAGTCTTTGTATGTGTTTCAACCACATTGGGTATATGTTAGACAGTGACCTTGGGGAACTGTACTGCTACAATCTGAGGTTAAATGTTGGTATTCTAACCAGCGTAATAGTAATGCAATATTATACACACACTGTATGCATTTTAAATAATTGATTTATGTTCAGATCATAACCAGTTTGTGATAATAAAAAGCACAGCTTTAAATGGACACACTTTATATGCATTTTTCCTGTTATTTGTTCATGTGTCGATCGATTTCAGTTTTAACACGATATGTTGTAAAACGCTTCAATTATTGATTGAAATTATCGTAATAATAGTAAATGTTATACACATAAAGTGATAAATGACCAAATGTATCCGTTTTCTGAGGAACTATGTAACTCAAGTCCTTCAGGACTGTGTAAATAAATGATCAGATCAGTCATTACAGACTCAGTGTACCTCTGCTTAATAATAAACAGATCGTGTTTTACTCAATAGGACTTCTTTTCAATTGTTTCATATATTATATGAGTATATATTTTTTATTTTGTTCATGAAATTAATATGAAACACAGGAGAAAGCAGGTCTTGTATCCAATTAGGCCATATACTTTGTAAGTAGATATAAGAAGACTGGGATAAGCTGTGTTTTAAACTCTATTGACCAATTGCTGAAAGACTGGTTAGCTTAACGCCGAATTTACATCAATAATCAAATGACAATTATTTTTTTAAACATCGTTAAATGTCCATTTTTAAAAAAAAAAAAATACCCAATTTCATATATTACAGACAAGCCAAACACCATGTTTATTTCTTATTCGAAAAATATTTTAAATGTTCTAAACGAAATCGCTCCTTTAACCTGTTGTTAAGGTTATAAACCCTTAAATACTTGAATCCTGGCCATAAGCTTGTATCAAACACTAGGCTGAAGTAGTCAATACCAAAAAGACTTTAAGAAGAAAATTCTACTTGGTTTACAAGTGTTCATTAGACAAATACAAGTGTAAAGAAATCAATACCAACTAGTTTTAAGACGAGGCTGAAGATTGGCTCTTGAACTTGTCATGAAACCATTTAACACACAGACGTTCAATACACACACAATTATCAAAAGAAAAGCAAACAACAACAACTATTTAGTGTACGATAGTTCGATTGTTAGGCTGATTAACACGTAGATCAGGAGCATTCTCCCTGAGTACACTACAGTTGTGTAACAGTAGGAACATTGACCATGATTTGACAAGTCAGCATCGGGCTTTTGCGACAAGCGTTTCAATGAGTTAACGGAAAGGATTATAACCACAAGACATTAATCTGTTAGCTGTATATCAGATAACTTCAGACTCAATTTACTGTGTACACATTACAATCAAATTATTTTTAAGAGCTACAGACATTTGTGTGGCCATGAAAACTATCGTGGACAATTAAACTGCTGATGATATGTGAACGTTTTACACCTCGTGGTCTTAAACTTGGCATTTACCCTAAAACCCATTTTGACCGATCTATCGGTTTCATACAATGATTTGGAGATTCTGAGTATATCAAGTGTAACCTGTATTTACCGAACCGATATGCATGTTATGAATAGACAAGGTTTTAATTTACATACAAATCATATATTGTAAATGGGTTATTGAAAATGAGTTAAGATTGAAGTGTCACAGGTGTCTGAATTATACAGGATTCAGTTTAGGCAGAAGACACTAAACATACCTATTTAAGCAAATTCTAAGACGGGTGTTGATTGCGGGGGGAATGTTCTTGTCATCACTTTCCTTTAATATTTGTTATATCGTTAGCGCGAGTTGATCGTGGCTATTCGGCGGACAAACTCATAGATCTTACACAATTTGAATCGTTTAAAAAGTTTACCGCTGGAAAAATAAATTTAACATGTATAATGATACATTTATGAGAAAAAATAATCAAAATATTCAAGCTAACATTTAAGCTCTTTATTTTGTATAATTGATATCAGGTTGTAGCTTGAAAATAAAATATAACTGTTATTTTTTAGATGGTCTTTTTGGATGTGAATTGTTATCTATAAATTAACGATTGAAAAACATATTTACAGGAATATCTTTATGATTCTATTAAGAAAGTCACATCAATCTCTGCGATATCCATACAATTAAATGAAATATAGTAAAATTCGATTGATATACTCACAAAACAGTCATCGAGTTGTATATCCAATATTGAAATACCCCAGTCACAGTCATTCAGTTCGATCAAAAAGCAATACGAACCGTGAAGATTCCATTAACTATTACACAGATACTGGCGAGCGACTTCCCGCCCCGGCAGTGGTCCTGAGGCTGAACAGGAGCACTGCGTGTACAGGTATGTCACTCAATAATCACACAGTACCTGGATACAATCAATTAACATTCCCCGGTCTATTGTTACAACGATACAGTGGACAAATTGAATTTCGTCCATGTAGAAACTCCCACTAAAGACAGCTGATATCCGACAATTCATAACAAATAATGAAACATAATGGAAAGCGTAAACATGGACATTTGTACTTAAACTGTATCACCGCAGATACTGCGCTCCCCGTGATCAATACGGAGTTCGTTTGACGGGGAAGACATAACAGGCAATTAATCTATGTGTTGTGTGTTTATATAATACTGAGAAACTCTATGTGTATACATTAAATACAATATAATCTATAAGAAATAAGACTCAACTATTAAACACACCAAGGTAAACACAACAGTTATCTTATCAGATCTATAGGAACAATATTCAAGATTGAAATCCAGACCTACCTTCTCATCAGGGACGAGGTATACATCGAACAATGCTGCTTTCACTATACTTTAAGTGTTGAGGAGGAAACCGAAAGTTTAAACCACACAGAGTAGTTATAACCATATGTTCAACATAAGCTATAGCACACTTGTAATCTAGTTCTGATGACAATGAGGGGTGGATTAGTACGTATAAACCGTAACACTAAGACTGCAATCCTAAATCGCCTAAATAGGATTAGGTTTAAAGTCTAGGTTTAGCGTACTTCTATTGGTAGTTACCAAGTGTTACTATAGCCTCTACTAGCCATAAATAATAACTGTGTATCATAACCTGGATGAAATGTTTCATAATCTTGCCAAATAAATGGCGCGAGAAAGACAGATAAATGTAATATTTTAACCATTTCCTACCGTGAGGTACTGTATTACATAATTATGGCGAATGGCCCTGGCGACTTGATCAAATAAAATGACAGATTGCCCGTCATGTGTACTTGGTATTAGATTGATTCATGACACTAAAATATACTTTATTTCAAGATAATAACTTGTTATTAATAATTAGCAATAATAGCAGTGGTATCTCTGGAACTTGTGTATAATAATTTTAAACCCTAGAGTCATTTTTAGGATTTACAATTTACGTGTTGCAATGACACTGCTTAAACGTAAAACACACAATATATATTATCGATGTGCATGCAAAGTAAATATGCTCTGTGTAAGGCCATGTGAGCACACACTAAAACGAACAATGACATTACTGTAAATGAATTGATAATTGTCACATTGTTATGAGAAGTAAAACATTTTCTCCGTTTACTTTTTATAAGTTCAATGTTAAATTGGTGTCAACTAAGGGGATCAGTACAATCCGTATGTTTTAAATTAAGTACTCGAACTTAAGACATTTGTGTCTCTGCACAGTCTGGGCTTCAAGCACTACCAACGGAGAAGTACGTGGATCATTGCCATAATGTAAACTATGTACTCATACCTAACACAGTGTAATACGATATTTTGATTTTATTCAATCTCTGGAATTAAAGACATGTATAAATTTATGTATTCATTGATCAAATCTAATCTCAAAACTAACTATTTTTACCTTTTCTTACTCAATGTTATGACACCGAGAGCTGTATTTATGAATCTATCTCAACATTTTTGGTATAATGTTATCCTATCCGATTAACATACGCTTCGAATAGGATTCTTTAATATATAATATAATACGTAATTTATTTAATACCCAAACTGTTGACATTTTGGCATCATTTGTTTAATCTTTTATTTCTACTGTTTTACTTGATAACATTATATCATAGTATCGGCTACCAAAATTATACAACCATGATTTCACCTACGAGTAATATGAACATTATCACAGGCCAACCTAACAAATATTACCCTTAGAAGGGTTGCAAAAGTAATACGAACATCTTTGAATTTGATATGAAGTAGATATAAATAAAATGGAATAATTGAGATATCTTTTAAAAGAAATAATGACATCTTTAAATAAAACAAATATAAAGAAAAGAACAGAAACTATGGATACATAAATACATCTTTAAATTTAATTGATATATATCATTCACTAAGTGTTACACCAAATATTTCTGTTGTTCATCAGACATATGATGCATTAATAAATAAATCTCCATTGTTTGATAGATATCTCCTTTTGTATAAGATATCTCTTTCAGATATTGAATATTAAGTTACCTTACCATAGTAACTACTTATGACCAATGCTGTTAAATATAATACATATGTTTTCCCCCAAACATACTCATTCTATAAATAGATCCGGAGAATATATAAGGATATTTTTGCGCAGACCGACAAGATCTTACCTTATTAGACACAGAGCAGCTACCAGCTAATTTCGCTGCGCTGCAAGAATTCGGCTGTATACAATTATACTGGCATGTTAAGAACATTTTTATGACAATCATTTTCTTCGTTATCAAAAAAGGGCAACGAAGATTTCAGCCCTCTTTGAATGAAATCAAAGCAAATATTGTGCTATAATTGCATCGGAAACGCAGATAGGGAGTGATCTAGCTCGACACCAGGACCTATCATAGGTATAACTAGTGGGGAGTGATCTGGTCATAAACCAAGACCTATCATAGGTATACCCAGTCAGGCGCGTAGCTAGCCCCTTTACCATGTGTAAGCCCCGACATGGGGTTGCCGAGGGCAGCCCCCTCCCCTCCCCCCCCCCGAAGCGCGTAGCGCGAGCAGGGGGAGGGTAAGGGAGTGGGTCTTCCCTCTCCCGTAAGGGGGGTCTGGGAAACTTTGTTTTCTAAAACGTCTCAGGAGCCATTCACACGTCCTGATGTCTGAGATAATGATATGTTGTAAACTATAATATAGTTTTAAAAAAGGGGCCGGACTTGCCCCGGTCTCCCCTACACATGTATAACACATGTGTAGGGGGGACCTGGGCAAACACGGCCCCTTTTCTTTTTTCAAGACGTTATGGAAGGCATGTACTATACTGATGAAATGCATATTTATATATATGTCATTAAGAAAAGAAATGTATTGTCTTTCATAAACTAATAACCAAATCGTAAACAAGACCATATTTTGGGAATTATTGGACTTTTTAGGTCGAGAGAGTTGGGGGCCGGACGAGCCCCGCCCTGAGGCAAATCTGGCCCCTACCAGGGCAAGTTTGGCATGAAGGATAGAGAAGACAATTTACTAATAAGTGTATGGAATTTCATTCAATTCTGTTGGAAAATAAGTCCAGAACAAATCAGTGAATACACAGAAAAAATTTATTAATTTTTGCGACGTAAAAATATTATTTTTGTGGTCAATTGGGTGACGTTATCAATAGTGACGTCACTTGGCACAATAACAGTTACATTCGGGGTGGCCGAATGTGCCCCGGCAAAAGGGGCCGAAGGTGCCCCAAATTGATATTTTCATAAAAAAAACATTGATTGTCTGTGTCCACTGTGCCATACTCGGAGTCGTTTGCGCCGGGCGTGAGTTTCTCAATTTACTCAATCGAGCAGTTTAGTTCCGCCTGGAACTGTCCATTAATGCAACGGACATTTCTAAACTTCATACATTTTTGTACTCACTATTAACAATGTATCATATCTGAGGAGTTAAATATGTATACTATATATTCAAAACTTAAACTCCAATTTATAGTATCAGCAAGAAAAAATAACGTCATGAAAACCTATACTTGTCAAAATCATGTGCAAGTGATCTGGACGTACACCGTGACCTATCATAGGTATACCTAGTGGGGAGTGATCTGGCCGTACACCGTGACCTATCATAGGTATACCTAGTGGGGAGTGATGTGGCTGTACACCGTAACCTCTCATAGGTATGACTAGTGGGGAGTGATATGGCCGTACACTGTTTCCTATCATAGGTATATACCTAGTGGGGAGTGATTTGGCCGTACCCCGTGACCTATCATAGGTATAACTAGTGGGGAGTGATATGGCCGTACACGGTGACCTATCATAGGTATACCTAGTGGGGAGTGATGTGGCTGTACACCGTAACCTATCATAGGTATGACTAGTGGGGAGTGATATGGCCGTACACTGTTACCTATCATAGGTATATACCTAGTGGGGAGTGATCTGGCCGTACACCGTGACCTATCATAGGTATACCTAGTGGGGAGTGATCTGGCCGTACACAGTGACCCATCATAGGTATAACTAGTGGGGAGTGATATGGCCGGACACTGTGACCCATCATAGGTATACCTAGTGGTGAGTGATCTGGCCGTACACCGTGACCTATCATAGGTATAACTAGTGGGTAGTGATATGGCCGTACACTGTGACCCATCATAGGTATACCTAGTGGGGAGTGATCTGGCCGTACACCGTGACCTATCATAGGTATACCTAGTGGGGAGTGATGTGGCTGTACGCCGTAACCTATCGTAGGTATACCTAGTGGGGAGTGATCTGGCCGTACACAAGGACCTATCATAAGTATACACAGTGGGGAGTGATCTGGCCGTACACCGTGACCCATCATAGGTATAACTAGTGGGGAGTGATATGGCCGTACACTGTGACCTATCATAGGAGTACCCAGTAGGGAGTGATCTGGCCGTACACCGTGACCTATCATATGTTTACCCAGTGGGGAGTGATCTGGCCGTACACCATGACCTATCATAGGAGTACCTAGTGGGGAGTGACCTGGCCGTACACCGTGACCTATCATAGGTATACTTATTGGGGAGTGATCTCGCTGTACGTGACCTATCATAGATATACCTAGTGGCGAGTGATCTGGCCGTAGACAAGGGCCGTCATAGGTATGCCTGGTGAGGAGTGATCTGGCCGTACACCGTGACCTATCATAGGAATACCTAGTGGGGAGTGACCTGGCCGTACACCGTGACCTATCATAGATATACGCAGTGGGGAGTGATCTGGCCGTACATCGTGACCTATCATGGCCGTACATAATGACCTATCATAGATATACCTAGTGGGGGTGATCTGGCCGTACACCGTG